AACATACTGTACATTCAATTTAGGTATCCTGCATGCTACTAAATAGAATTTATCAAAAGAACCATAAAAGCATGAGAAAGAATTACATAAAATAGTTTAATTCTAGTGAAGTGTAGCTTTATACAGATGGTGAATATTTGGCACTCAGTTCATCCTCATTGTTGATATGATTTCTTATGTATATATATTTTTATATATATTTATATATACTTTTAATGATAACTAAACAGCTAGTTTCCTGGTTCTAACATTCCTTGAAGTTCTATAGGAGGCATTTAATTTAGTCCTTAGACCACACTTGATTATTTTGGCATGTCCATGGTAAACGAAAGTATGAGTTTTGTCTCTGTACAGAAAATCCTGCACAGTCATAGTGGCTTTTCTTCAGGAAAGAACAGTTTTAGAGCATATAAACCAGGCTACTTGAAAGGGAATTTTATTTCAGTCAGGAAATTAATGTAAAAATTTAACTAAATAATACATACATGCTGAGCCCTTTTAAAATGAGATGGCCATTCAATTAAACCTCCAAAGGGTAAATCAAAGCATGGATATGAGCATGTAGGTTCCATGGCAATTATAAACAAAGCTGGCATGTCTTTGTGAGGACTCTCTTCAGAGACTCAAATCTACCACCGAGCCCTCTGCATGACTCTGACCTACCTGAAAGGAAAAATGAACTCCTACTAAGTAATGGCACGCTTGCTACCTTGAACACAGAGTCCTTCCTACCTCAGACTTGCTGAGTCAGATATTGGTCTGAATTATATTGATTCAGATCTGATATTCCTTTCTGGTTTCAGTTTCTGAGCATTGATTCTAATACAACTGGGATCAGAACTTAGCCCGGTGCTCTGCAATAATCCACCTCACAAATAAGAAACTTGTATGACAGTGAAGCTTTAGGAATGGGAAATGGTGTGCTGAATGAAAGAGTGGCAAGGTAAGAAGAAGAAAATTCTTCACTAATGGACTGTGCTTGTGGATAATGACTATATATTCTAATAAGCCTCCTCCTCATTTATGCTTACGTGAAAATATCCATGTTTTTGTACCTAGAGAAGTAAAAAATCCTGTCCAACAAAACCAATTTAGAAAAATAACAATTTGGCCTTAATAAAATATAGAATTAAATTGCCAGCTGATGAAAACTGTTCTGTGTTTGCTCAGTTAAAGAGCAAGCTGTGTAGACAGACTAATTTACCTTAACTATGATCTGACTTCAAAAGCCCAGTTCTCTTCTGGCAATGAAGGGTAATGGGACAAAAGCTGGGTGTGGAAAGGTGGATCAGTGAACGTGCAGTCTTCTTCTGCCATCATCTTTTATGAAATGCAACATGCATTTCATGAGAAAAGATCTGGAATACCATTTTTAGATACAGAATCATAGAATCGTTTATGTTGGAAATGACATTCAGTAATGAATGCCATGGCCCCTTTCAGCTACTGGAATTTTATTTCATTAAGAGGAACTGAATCAGCCCACATGTGCTGGCCAAATTTTCTTTTGGGCAACATTCCATTTCAATTTTGGTTTTATACTTGCTGTCCTGAACAGCCTATTATGTAGTTAAACAGCTACAGCATTATGCCATAGAGGTAGCTGCATTTCAGAGATAAATTAAGCAATTTCTGTGGATACAGAGGGCTTAATTCCTGACAGAACTCTGTATATGCATATGAGTAGGCCATGTTCCTGAAAGATGGTCCCTGGAGGTGAACATGGTGAATAGCTGCTGATGGGCCATGGCGCTGCAGTAGGCAATGAACCGGCCACAGCCATCAGCGTTGAGGATGAGCTGCAAGAAAGTGGCACAATCTACAGGAATGAGTGTTGACTGTGGCTCCTGGGTCTGGCTCGTCTGGCTCTCTGGAACCCTGACAGTGAAAAATCATTTTGTGTATATACTGATACATGTATGTATCGTCTTTCTGTTCTGTGCAGTATGAAATGGTGGCCTCTCATCTGGTGGCCTGTCCATGCAGAGAGAGGTGCCCCCATTGCACTGCCATCAAAGAACCCTTAGGGCTGGGGCTGAGTCTCACAAAAGAGCAGCTGCCCAAACCAAAGCACAATCATCATGCCTCAGTGCTGTGCCCCACGTCATCCCTCGTGTTAGCCGGGCTGGAGGGCAGACCTGGGGAGAGAACAGGGCGCTTGGGGAAGGCTGCTTGTGCAGCAAGGACTCCGGATGGATCTCTCCCACTATGAAAGTGGGGGAAATGCACTTGCAAAGGGGAGACTTGCCAAGATTCCTGACCAAGAGGGCTCAGCTGCCGGTGCCATCAGCTCCTGTGCCTGGCACCAGTTAGGAGTCTCCTCCAGAACCCTCCCAGGGAGCTCCTCCACTGCTGGGACCTCACTGCTATTGTCAGGAACAGAAAAGGTAGAGAGTGTTCTGGAAGATTAATTTGATGCTCATCACTCCCTGCCTAATCCCTAGGGGATGGTATGAGCACTGATTGCCCTCATCTCTGCTTTGCTCAGGTCTTCCTCTTGGTTCAGTGAGTCTTTTCTTCTCCTTCAGCACAGGCTCAGACTGTGAGGTCCCAGATGCTGGAAGTGTGCTGTGGAAGGAAACTCCCAGCAGCATGGGGACAGGTGGGAGAACCCCCAGCATCCTGCCGTGCTGGGTTACCTGTCCCAGCTGCAGCCCAGCCTGGAGTTTGTGTGTTGGCTAATAAAGTGCTTGGAGATCCTTCTGGATGAAAGGCACTGTGTAAGTGTGGGTGTCAACCTGTCATACACCAGGAAGCACCTCTCTAGACATTAAGGGGTTTGCTGATATTCCTTACCTCGAGCGCAGTTGGCCGGTGGTATCCCTGCATCATGAGATGCTCAAGGAACAGTAATGGGAGTAACGTTGCTTCACGATTCATTTAAGCTCCCTTACACTGAGGCTCTGTTTTCACAGGTTTTCAGTGCACACATCTTGACACCTGGAGCTGCCAAGCCAGCTTCAGACCTCAAACTGGCATGCACAAACCAGCACTTGATGGGCCAGCCTCCAGTGTGCCCTCGCCACTGGTGCCAACTCTGAAATGCTGAGGAGGACATCAAACCCACCAGCTGGGCAGGGCAGGCTCAAGGCTTTGAGTGTAAAAGGCTGAGCTGGGCTGATGTGGAGGTCCCCTGCTCCGGGCGAGGGGCTGGGGGGCCTGCATGGAGAGGGCCTGGGACAGAATTGTGACACTGCCTGAGGTGCCACAGGGCCAGGAACCTCTCAAGGACACTGTGCCCACAGGCCACGAGGAGGCTGCAGGCCCTGTGTGACACACCGTGCCACATGTGACACTCGTCACACAGCAGTTACTTGCAAAATCACCCAATGACCAAACATTCCTTGACTATACACTAGACGCAGTGCTGAGGAAGTAGAGTACTAATTTACTGATACAGCAGGACGTGGGCTTATTTTAAAACAAATAATTTCCATTATATGAAATATATGTTATATCTATCTATATGTATGAAATTCACATGCTTTCCTATGCACGCTTTAATTCCTTCCTGATTGATTTCAAATCTAATGTAGTGTCAAGGTTTAAGCATGAATTAAAATATAATTTTTTGGTATTAAATTGTATAACGTTGTTCATGTTTGCATTCTGTCAAAGGCCATTCTAATCAGATGGACATGAAATAATAAAACACTTCATAATGTACTTCACCAAATTACAAAGAATTTCAAATCTAAAAAAATATACAAAGAAAAAACAAGTATGGCAAATATCAACAATTTTACCATTCAGGCCTTTTTCCTTATTTAAATTTTCTGAATTCTGTTTAATATACTTGTGTTTTACAAGCAATGCCTAAATGAACAGAGACTTTCTATAGTTTTAATGTGTTAAAATACATATTAGCCCAATTAATATTTAATTAAACACTAGACTGTTTTGCTATATTCAGCTATTGTGATTGGGTCTATACCATGAACTCTCAAAGGAGAAGGCATTCTAGTTCCTATCTTTCTGTTTATTTATATCCCTCTTACTTTGGTTTTGTAACTGACTTTTATTTTTGTGATGTGAAGTCAGATTACAATTGATCTGGATATATGTTAAGATATGGTGTTTCTCATGTCAGAGAATGAAGCAATCTGATTTATTTGCAACACAAATATTATAAACATAATGTTATCTTTTGAAACTAATCAGGTGTACAATATGTAAATTGAAATGGCTTATTTGCCTTAAAAGATATAATGTTACCTGTACAACAATTTAAAATATTGCACTTCAAAATGTAATGTGCACAATCATTACCAAATTTGTTGGTAGGCATCTAGTTTACTTTTGATTTTTCCAATTGTTTTTGTGGGGTTTTTTAGTTGTTTGGTTTTTTTGTTTGTTTGAACAAGGTGGAACAAACAGAAATCATAGATTTACAAATATTATACTGAGAATTTTCATATAACAGCAGGGGAAATGTAGAACACAGACTCCTCCAAGTCAGCATTATTAGGCCCGCTGGGGTCTCAGTTTATCTGTAATCTGTTTGGTTTACAATTTGTCTTCATAGAGTCTGATTACTGGCAGGAGTAGGTACAGCTTGTCTTAATTGCATGACCTGTTGCTGCAGGTAGGAGGGTTCAAGTGAGTAAAGCAAGTGATTCCTCCTGGAAGTGTACAGAAAATTAGATAAAATGTGTCAGCTGCCATATGTGTACAGGTGTGTGTGTGTGTCTCTATTTTAAATTTCTTCAATCTAGGAAGAATACTGGCTTTGGTTTTGTGTGGATATTCTAATTAGCAGCTCCACTTCAAGATACCAGTTTTCAAGACTAAAGATGCCAGTCTCTGCACGTGCTTCTGTATTTAAAATAGTACAACAAATATAAGAAGTAGCATCAATATTGTACACTGCCTAGGATTCAGCTCTTTCCTTAATAGAAAATGCCTTGAAAACACAAGGGATGGGAAATATAATGTTTCCCTCTATAGAAGAATATTTCAGGGATTTATTATTTTTTATTCTTTTTTTGTCTTTTTTTTTTTTTTTTTTTTGCATTCTCAAAGGATATACATTCGTCTTGGTTTTTGCTTCAAATATAGTTTAAGGCTATTGGTAAAGTATATACCAGATACCAGGCTCAATTTACAGGGGTGTCTTCTCACAGGAACTTCTCAAAACTTCATCTCTAAAGATTCGTACTTTGAAGCCAAGCATGCTTTATCAGTTGTCCAAAGACAGAACTCATGCTTAATACCACACACTGTAGGAAAAAAGAAGGAAAAAACCAAGCAACCAAACAAAAGAAAACAGATTTGAAGCAATGTCAGATCTGCAAAACCTATGGTACTTCACGTTTTCACTCATCCATCAGGCTGCAGGGTGTGTGGGATTTGGATTTAAAGTGCTCAACAGGTGAAGAACCAAAGTGCTTGAGTTCAATTAAAGAATTGTTCTGCCTATGGCTAAATACATTGCATTTGTTAAAGCAGGTAAACAGGGAATGTGGTAGCTGGGGCTGTCTGTCTCACTGGGTTCTCATTCTTTTCATCTAAACTTGTGTTCAATGAGATTCAAACCTTGGCATTGGGGGCTGCATGTTGCTCATTTTATTGCGTCTTCACCTGAAGACTTCTAAGTGCTGGATTGCTTGGTTGGCTCTGGAAGGTAGGTGAAGTGGAATAATTCTGTCCTAATTTGGTTTAAATGAAAGCCTCTTGACTGTGGTAGCTACCACTTCTCTCTTCTGACAATATGAGGCTTGAAAATATATTATTTTCCTTATATTCCATGGCTGGGAATCACTTATCTCTTGAGTCAGGATTTTTTTTTCCTATGTCTGAAGCAAGCAAGAACCTTATTCTTGCCATAAACGATACTGCATAGAAAAATAGTTCTAAAAAAAAATACAATTGTAAACCACAGTTCACCTTTACCTTAACATAACCATTTAAACTTATATATACTTACCACTCACATTCATATTTCTTAAACTGTTTACAACATCACAACTGGCATTTTAAACAAGCAAGATTTTTTTGTTCTCAAGGATACCCTGGAAACTCAATTGTTATAACAATTTGAGAGTTTGAAATAGTACATGTAGCACAGCTCTTGAAATGAAAGAGATAAGGTTTATAAAATAAATATTAACATGTAAAAGAACAGTTAAAAATGCAATGAGTGGTCCAAAGGAGCAAGTATAACTTTTTCTTTACTCATCTTACTACAGAAGATCTAACTTTTTAAGGCTTCCATTTTCCTTTCACCCATCACTCAAGTCCTCTTGCATTACAATTTTGCTTAGGTTTCAGTGTGTCGTTATACTGCTAACAGGAAACGTTTCTTAGTGGACATTCCCACCATCACCAGACTTGTATGCTTCTTGGTTTCTGATGAACTTTGGAGTTTTAGTGGCTGGATATCCCTGTTCATCTCCAGAAACTCGAATGAGATGAGAGGCCTAATGTTATTTTGCAGTAACAAAGATGAGAAGAGTGGCAGAGCACATGGGTAAATGTGTTAGCTGGATTCTAGGAAAAGAAACTGAAGGTCAAGGAGATAAATGGGTTCTTTCTTTCCTGCTCTTTACATTTGTAGCACCTTCTACTTGGATTAGCTAATGCCTCTAGTGAATGGTGAGATGCACCCATTTATAGTTTGTTATTCTTATCCCTAATTATCACACATTTTATAAAAATATAAATAACAAAAAGTAAGCTGGGTTCCATCTCAAGAGGTGTTTCTTGTTGTCCTCTGAGAATATATCGGATAAGTCAGGTCTTGACAAGCCCTATCCATTGTAGCTGATTGTAAGTCAGACAATAAATACAAAAAGAAGTCGTTCTTGCGGTGAGCTCAGCAAATTCTGAGGAAATCAAAAGCATTCCACTGTGCTTATGGCACAAAGAACACAACATCAAGGGCATATTTAGTGGAGAGAATGAGACAAAAATTACCAGGTAAGTGACAAACTGTACAAGCATTTTGTTTAAAAAAAGGAACTCTGCAGCATTCTGTCTTTAAAGCCGGGTTTGAGCCTCTGGGATATAGATCTCAATGCTGTCTGCACGCTCTGTGGCTGAATTCTGCCGGAAAGAGGCTGCTCGCTTGGCAGCCATCAGCCGTCTCCTAGCTTCTTGCCGTTGTCTGTCAGGTAGGTCCAGAGATTTTTCTCTTGTGATAGGGAATTTTCCTTTAGGGGGCTTCTTTGGTACAGGAGGAGGAATCTTTCTTTCTTCCTGCAACAGGGCATTAAAACTAAGGGTGAGCTGTGTGTAAAAGGTACTTGTCAGCAGAGCATGCACATCAAAGACATGAAATGCAAAATACTGATTACATACATCAAGCATGCTCAATTTTTGCTTGCCCATCAGCTGACTAATGGATTACATGAACATCTATCCACACTAGGGACACTGACAAAACCCTCTTATTTGACAACCATTATACATTCTGCAGTCCTGTGCCTGAAAAAAAAGACTGCACTTCCTTCCACCATCCTTGCAGGTATTGGCACATGCAATCTGCACACCTCACTTTCATATGGATTTGTTTGATTTAAGCTGACACATTATTACACTCATTATAAACAGAAACACACACTGTCTCTCCAATAAGAATTCAGCCATCTGTGTGGTCTGATCAAGTGAAAAGACTCTCTAAGATTAGCAGGACAGGATTTTTGATTAAATTAATCATACTGAGTTTAGCCTCAGCTGGATATGAGATGGCAGCTGTGTATACATGTCTATTAGTTTAGTCTCCTCCAGGAATTGCTCTATGGAAACATTCAAGCCAGAGAGAGAACATAGGGCTAATTGTTCTGCTTGCAAGGCTGGGTTATTTTAAAGAAAATTATTCTGAAGAATTATCAAATTATAAAGTGAAGTCAGTAGATTTTGTTACCAAAGGAGCTGTAAATTTCTCTGCAGGTGTTAAATCAAGAATTGTTTTGACCATTTAGAGACTGTAAAATATCATATGAGGGCCTATAATCAAGGCTGTGTACACTAATTTAGGTTAGAAGAGATGAACCTCTGGAGGTGATTTCATACAATCTCCATTCAAAGTGGACTTGAAATTAGATGCAACTTTGAAGTTAAATCAGTTTGGCTTGGTTTTGGTTTCTTTAATTTTTTTTTTAATTTCATCTTTAATATTGGATTGTATAGCCCTGAAGATGAAGACTCCATAACTTCATTTGTATAGGTATGATTATTATAATAGATTTTTTTGGTATATAATTTCTTAAAGTAATGGTCATAGTCCAAAGTATGGGCTGTTCTTTATGGAGAACACAGTAAATTTGATGCACAGCAGGATTCCAATAATACAAAAATTGAACTGATACACTTAAGGTTTACAGACTCCTCTTTTTTTTTTTTTTTTTTTTTTTTTTTTTTTTTTTTTTTTTTTTTTTTTTTTTGGGGGGGTTTTTTTTTTTTTTTTATGTTTGGTTGGGTTTCTTTGTTTTTTTTAAAACTAATTCTGACTCCACTATCCAAATGCAATAGCCAAGACTAAATAACTAAGTTTATTTAAAAACATAGTTCTGCATTAAACAGGAACAGTGCAACAGCCTAAGATGCTATTCCCCATGATAGCTAGTTTTGCCTGTCTTTATTTTCTCTATCTCCTGTTTTCATAAAAGCTCCATTCCTGTCATCCCATCTTATTTTCTTTTCCACTTTTAGTTATTTCCCTCTTAGGAATATCACTGTTGCTGTCACTATAATAATTTCTTATTTCCAGTTGCCACTAGTAAGCAAGAGTTGCAAACTCACCATCCACCAACCCGTTGGCTGAAAATTAAAATCCAAGAGGAGCATGAAGAAATGAAAAAGTTGTCAAAATGCCTCCTAATTCCTCCCAAACCAAACAAATATTCACCTGAGGCCAACAGTACTGACTCAAACCAAATGCTGTTTTCATCTGACTGATACAATAATAAGCAAGGACAGTGGGATAATCAAGGTAAGGGATGAAGTTCTAGAGAGGGGAAAGGCAGTTTCAGAATGGCACTGCTTTTATGGGCAATTTGTCACCTTTGGTTTGTAAGCATCATGTGGGGTATCTCCCAAGTGGTGGAGTTGCAGGGCAGAGGTGCAGTGAGTTCACCAGCAGCACTTTGTCCCCCGGAAGTATGTCAGCTGAGCTTTAGTGTGACCTGTGCTATGTTCTGTCACATGTTTTTCTCTCATTCTGTTTCCATTATCATTTGTGTCATGCAGGCAGGGTTCACACTGCAGTGTTCAAGTTTGAGCTGCCCCAAATGTAACAGAGCGCTGAATTTACCTTGTGTGAATTCTTGGGCTATTGTCTTCCATTTGAATTAATAAGAACGTATTTCTGTTCTAGCCTTTAGAATGTGAATCAAATAATTTGAACAAAAGTGTCGTGGAGTAAACTAGCTTAGCAAAATCCATTTTATTTGTTATATAATTCAGCTCAACATTGTTAAAATAGAAAAGACTTCTGACATCTGATGAAAGTTCCCATGTAAAAATTGGGCCATGCCAATTAAATACTTCCCAGGGTTAGAAACCTATTGTGCTTCACTATTGTATTTAACACAAGGAGACTGCAGAACTACAAATGGGGAGTAAATGGTATTGTCCATGGTCTGCTTACCTTCCTTTCAGGTGATTCTATTATTTTCCATTCATTGAGTTTCAACTGGTGCAGTTCATCAAACTTCATGCTGACATCTTCAATTGAGAGCTGCAATAAGTCCCAGAAACCTGCAAGGTCCTGGGAAGTTGGTCTTGGCATGGCACTCGGGTCCTGTAGCGCACAAAGGAGAGAACATGAATACTCCAGGAGGCTTTCAGTGGCGTGCACTGAGGCAGGAAGGGCACGGTGCCAGATTTCTTTGCTGCAGCACTGCTCAGTGCTAAGGCTCTGCGTGCTCTGCAGCTGGGAGCTGTGACTGGAAAGCTGTGCCTCCTACACAACCCAAACATGAATGAATTGGATGTCACACGCGAGCCTTCCTGAATCTGCGGCATGGGAAGTTCCTTAGCACCATATGCTGTGCTGACCTGCATTTCTAAAAAGGAACAAGCTGACAGCCTGTCTGCTGATTATTAAAGGCAAGGGGAGCGTGGTTTGTATTCCAGCCAGCCTGAAGTCTTCCTGGTTAAAAATTATATTCACGATAGCTGATTAAGACAAAACAATGCCACAAAGACATCACCTTATGCTGAACTTGATGTTTACATTGTCTTGGATTTTCAAGTGTATATGTGAAGTGTGAAATCTTGATGAGCTGCTTGGATTTTCTTCTCCAGGGAGTTGAATCACACTCAGGAACTGGGAAGACAGTACCACCAGGTACTGCAATTAAGAGGCTCTATGTGCTTAAGACTTAATGGAGCAAACATTGGTGGTAACAATTAGAAAGATGACCCTCTATTTGATAATTAACCTAATGCTGGATAAAAATTGTATTATAAGGTAATATGCAGACTCTTAACCCTATACTCTCTGAGCACTGGTACTAGGTTCAAGAAGAGAGCTTTGTCACTTTATTGAAATAGGGCTTAATTGGTAAACATGTCTGTGAATGTAATGAAGAAATGCCTTTTTCCTTTCAGGACAGGAAGAAGCCATTATGATGGTCTAAAGAATGGAGCTGGGAGAGAGGACATCAAAAGCATGCCAAAGAGACTCTGGATCTCTCCCTTCCTGGCCAAAACCTGTAAAGACTAACTTGCTATGTCAGCACCACTGCAGTTATAGCAGGCTCTGTTCCCCACCTTTTTCAAATCTAGTGGTGAAAGGCATTTTACCTTTAAACACAACCCCACAGCTGTCTAGAAACTGAGAGGTAAGTCAGCATTGCTATTGAATTCCTCCCTTGAATCACACATTTCTAAGTATTTTAAGGAACTGCTGCTCAAACTTGGGTTTACAGATGCCACTGTGGGAGATTAGGGCCTGGAACTGAGCATGACAACATGTAGTGTCACCCATAGACCCCTACTGGAATCTGGGCCAAGAACAATTTACAAGCTTTCTTCACTAGGAGAAAGTTTCCTTTTTATAGGGAGCTTCAGGGATTTAAGAGGCCATATAGATTATAACAGACATCTGGGAAACATTACAACTCCAGATTAGTGTTACGGAAAACTACTTCATTGGATGGATCCCAATTTGTTACAAAACAGTTTGAAATTTATGTCAGTGGGGTTATTTACACTACAGAGGTCAATATTTCAGGTTTTAGGAACTGACTCCCTGTGTGAAATTCATGAGGAGGGTCCCACAGCAGTCTGTCTTATCTTGCAATCTGTTGTCTCCTGCCTGCTCTCCTCACTCACTCTCCCCAGTTTCCTCTAAACAGCCAGAAAATGATTCCACTCATTGCAAGGACATTGCCTTCTGAGTCAAGGCTAATTGCTGTTCTGTACTTTGTGAGCCTCACTCTGCTCACAGTGTTTGTGAAGACCGTGGCCTCCAGCACGACTCCTGCAGAGGGCTGTGCCATGTGTGCTCTGGACACAAGAGGGCTGCCTCCTGCTTCTTACACATCCACAGCTCATGAATAAACGCTGGCACAAATGAGTACTATTACAGCCAACTAAGTTTTGAAAAGATTGGCTTAAACCTGCTTCTTCTCAGAAACTGCTTATTTATTAGTATCTTACTTGGAATTCAGCTTCACAGCCCTGCTTTTGAAGGAGGCCTAAAGCAAGGAACAAGCACCTAGGTGGTGCTCAAGCTGCTCTGTTTTAGCCTGCAACCATGACATACAAGCTGAGCAGGATCTGTGCTGACTAGAGAGCATGGAGAAGGACACTTCAGAGAAAATAAAGGGTGTTACAAAAAGCAATGTTAATAATGCAAAAGAGACGAGTTATAAATCAGTAATGACATTTTCCCAAGTAGTTAGTGGGAACAGTATACATTTAGGAGATAGCCAGCCAGAGTCATAAAACAGAAAACTTCATCGAAGCTTACATTTCTATGAATTTACCCTATGTGAGAGTCTTTGATAAGTGCTCCTAACACAGAGCATAATCAAATGTACCATTTGAATTTCCCATGATCCTTTAGAAAAGTCCACAGGTGACCTTCATGCTTCAATTTCAGTCTGAGTAAGTATATTCCTCTGAAACCCTTGTTGTTTGAACTGGCACAGTTAAATGTTGTTGTTTTGTGTCCTACACTTAAACTTAGAGATGCTGGACACTGTCAGAGAAACAGCTGTGTGGCAGCCCTGCACGTGCTGGGTGTTTTAGAGAAAGGGAGTGCACAAGCTGGCAGCATTTCCCTGGGGCACTGAGATGCTGCCTTAGGAGCATGGAAAGCCTGCTGTAGGTATGCACTAAGTGACTATTTAGCCTCAAAGTTTATCATTAGGTATACGAAGAAAAGCTTCCAGGCATGAATGACCTACAGTCAGTTTTGCAGTTGCTACTTTCTGCAGAGCCCATTATTGATTTAATGAATGTGAAGGATACTCAGAACCTAAATCTTGAGAGTGGGGTAAAGATTCTGTTATGGACTTCAGAGGTTTATTATCCAAAAGAGAAAAAGAGAAGTAAAATCTTGCCATCTTTTTGGTTGTGTTGCCTACAAAGTTGTAGATTTCTCCTTGCACTCTTTATTGCTTTTGCAGTAATGAATTGTTCTTTCTCCCAAACAGCTGAGGGTTGTGCTGAGCAGGAGCTGCACTTGCTATTGCAGTAATGCTCTCGAGCACAAGTGCTGGGCCCACTTGAAGATAAGAAGTGGAGTCGAGGTTAGGCTCTCCAAATCTTAGTTTGCACAGCTTAATCAATCAGGTAATGGAGGGCATTTTTAAATTTGCAGAGAGAAAGTTTCAGACAATGATGAAGATTGCCTTCTTTTGGTATGAAACAAATTACTAGATAGGGAGCACACATCCTATAATTGATAATACAGGTGTGGTCAATTCTTGCTTGTCAGACTTTGTATATTTCCTCTGTTATTCTGTAACAGATTTTAAAATTTTTGTTTTGACAGACTTTTTGATAACTGGATTCTTTCCTAATGAGGACCATGTATCTTAATATTTTCTATCAGAATGTATGACATTTTTGTTGTTATTTTCTCAGTATTATTTCATTGTAGGTATTCTGGATGTTTTTCTTCATGGATGGAAAGTACAAGTAGGTCTTTGCAGAATTGCAAAGAGGTTCTGCCTTGGAAGTTATGTGACAAATCCCAATGAGCAAAGTATGTAAGCAGATTATAGGTTATGTCTGCTGTCATGCACACAACCAAATTTCAAGATTTGAGGTTGAAGGACAGTCAGATGGAAAAGGTACGCTTGCTATTTGAGAGAGCCAAAAAAAGGTTTTCTACCACCACCTGCAGCTAGAAGAATTATGTTCTTCTATTGGTTAGTATCATCTTGCCACAGCATTTGTATCACTGATGGCTGCTGTCATATTAATGAAGATAACATTTAGAATTGAATTAGTCTCTAATGAACTTCCAGAACAATAGCAGTTACCCTCATAAGTAATATAATGTATCTGTTCCTTTAGCCCCAGGACATCTCATATATAATTGGCAACACAACTTATCCAACTTAATTTGATGAATATTATAGATATCTCATTTCCATGATCAGTCCTATTTTCAGGTAGGTAGAAATGGATTATGTATTCTCCAATATTCAATTTTAGGATTTTCCACTGATTTTAATGTGAAAATTTCCCCCTTCCTTACATGAAATATAGTTACTATATTAGGGTATTGCAAAAATAAGCCATAATATTACGTCTCAGAAAACTTGTATTTGTTCCCTTCTCATTTTATTTTGTTTAATAAAGACAGCAAAAAGAGAAAAGCAAAACATAATCAGATTGAAATTACTGAATTTATATATACTCTTAAAACCATCTACCAACATCATACATAAGGATTTAGTTTAAAAAAGGGGGGAAAATGTGGGACATGAAAATAACATTTCAGAAAGCTACTGCTCAGGTGCATTACAGCTGTTTTTGAAGTAAAAATATTGAATACTAAAATTTAAAGTGACATTTTGTGGAATATTATGGATGAAAAAACTTAAACTCATCAAGAATAACCAGGCAAAGTGACTTACCAGATTTTGCTGACAAAGCCAATAAAATTGCTGGAATTTCTGAGACATGAGGAGCTGAGCACTTCCAACAGCACTTCGGATCTTACCTAGGACTAAGCATACAGATGGATTACTACCAATAAATGTTTTTTTGTCAGTAAATACAATATTCAGCTCAAAAAAGTGCAGGTGAGTTTCCTGGTTATTTTAAAATAAAAGTAAATATTTGGTTTTGTTGTTTGTGATTGTACACATAAAACATTTTTTAAAAAGACTGAGGTATAGGAAAACTCAGTGGCATCTTTTGGCAATGAGGAACGAATAATAAATTATATATTAATAAGTCAAAACAGCTTAGACTTTACTTGTTTAAGAAAGTAGATAAAACTAAGGGCCTATATTCAGCTTTCTGAAGTGGGCATCCATTAATCCATATGACTTTGAAAACACTCTTAAATTTCAAAGTAAATGACACCTCTCCCATTTACATTTGCTCATGTAAATTGAGAGCTGTTGAAATTGTCTTGCTTCAAGAACCAGTAGGATATCTGTTCCTTCAGAAGTTGAAGGCACAGGTACCTTAGATTATACCTTTTGGTTCTGCAATTGCAAATTACTTCACACACTACACTTGTGTGGATGATCCCTGGGTGAGATCTCTTTATCAGTTCTGAGTTCTGAGGGTAAAGTTACTACATTCAACTGTAATATAACATACGGATTAGATCCTCACAGGAATTACATCTCTGAGACATATTTTGGTACACCCACTAGGAATTACAGGTCGTCTGCCCAGGAAAATAAACAAAGTCCTCAGCACAGGAGCTTCAGACAAAGTGGGACACAAACAATGTGTGCTCCAGGACTTTGTTGAGCCATCATCAGCCCCCGTGGATGTGTTGGTGTTTCCTCACTGTCCATGTGCCCATGCCCATACAGTATGCACTGGGGAAAATGACCAAACTCATTTTACTTTGTTTCCAAATGACCAAACTCATTGGCTTTGTTTCCAAGAGTCATCTGTCTAAATTAAAATTTTTGAATGCATTATAATCAGTGATCTGAGTTCAGCAGCTCAGCCATGTTAGGCACTTATTTTTAGATGAGCTGAATTTCCTCCTGGAGATGCCTCAGTCTGTCCATTGACAGCACTACCTAAGGGGATTGGCTTATCTCTAAGAAACTAACTCATCCTGACTCCCACACCTGCTGGGATAAATAACACACTTTGGTAGGTGGCACCATGCTTTTCTATACCTTCCTACATATCCTTTCCTACAGTTCCTTTCCTCCACATCCATCTCTATGATGAAAAAAAATAAAATTAAAAAGCATTATAAACTGTGGTCTCAGCGAAAAATTTATTTTAGCAGGAGAATTTCCAGATCATTAAATAATCTTAAAGATATAGAGAGGTGGGGTAAATGTAGGCAGGAATTACTCTGATATATTTTACTTCAAATTGGAGAAACCAAGTTTGATAATTCAAACAGGATGTTAAGTGTAAGTAAGTGTGGAATAAAGCTGATACAGCACAACTGATCTGCAGCCCCTGATATAGGAAAACTTAAAATGTGACAGGGCTTATAATTTTGTTGTTATTTAGAAAAAGTACAGGAGGGCATGTGAAAACAGTGTTTTGGTAGTAGATTTTACATTTTAATTCTGCTTTCTTTAGACCAGTGAAACATCTGCTCACCTACAAGTAGTAGCAAGAGATAATTTGAAAATTTTGGGCTCTAGTTAAAGTCTCAGTAACTTTCAAGGCATGTGCTAATATGTGGAGTTGTGGGTCTCAAACTCTATTTCATTTTCTGTTAGGCAAATAGTACAGCTGTGCCACAACACTAAATTAAACAGAAATATACATAATTCATCAGTCCTGTGTGACATCCATTGTAGAAGGGTTAAGTGGTTCAGGGCTGCATGAGTAATTCACTGAGGATTGTTTTTGTTCTGCTGGCCAAATGAAATAAATCATTTTAATTGGTTTGGGGGTTTTTGATCATCAAACCCCTTGCTTTCCTCTACAGTGTTATTGGCATACAGGAGGGAATAGTTGAGTGTTAAAGCCTGAACAAACATACAAAAACATAAATAAAAAAGAAATGTTTCATTTGATCTGACACAAATTGCTTTAATTTGGTTTTCAACATTTTTAATAAAGGCAATGACTTTAGTGATGAACAGCCTTGTATCCTCCTTTTTTCTCTTGGTGATCGGTAGCTTAGGACATTAGACAAACTCCCAGTGTGGGGTCAGAGTTCCTCCTTTTCCAGGATGAGGAATTGTGCTGTAGCAGGTCCCTGACATCACCTATTCCATGCTATGTTCAATGATTTACTGAGCAAAAAAAGAGTGAGGTTGATTCCATGGACTGATGGTTGTAATGGTTGTTTCTAGTGAGTAAAGTTCAGTTTTAGTTTCCTCTGCTGAATTTTACAGTTCATAGCTCAAACACATAGCCTGAGTAAGGGGCATTGGTTTTAGCTCCTCTGCAGAAATATAGATCCTGACAGAATCTATATATGTCTGATATTTTCTAGTGAACCTCAGCTACCCGAACCCTCATACTAAATAAACATTAATTTTATCTTCATTATCATGAAGCATCATGTCAACAAGCATTAGTGATTTAAAGCCCAGTCAGACTGGTCAAGATTTAGGCACTGACAATGTAGCATTTTGGTGGGATACACATTTGTCAGGGATATAAGGCTGTGATGGTTGCATGTGCCATTAAGTCACAGTGCTGAATACACATGTATGATTACAGCCCTAGAATTTACTAAAGATCTAACTCTATTTCCATTTTAATAAGTAAATCTGATGTAATAAAACATAGTGGTTAGAATCTCTCATATTCATGCTACTCTGCCTTGCTGTAATTAAATTAAAGTATTAAAACACTTCAACTCATAATCTTTAGCACAATATTAATAGACATCCAAAGCCTTGTTATTAATTTCATGCATTGGGGAATTATTCTGATGAGTGCAGATTGATTATCTCCATGAAACAATGATGAATGCTAGAGACTGAAGAGATTGAGATGTTTGGTGATGACTAGAAGATTTTTCTTGTAAATAAATGATGATAAAATCTACCAATACACATAGACATAATATTCATATAATCCATAAAACTCCTTGCATTAGGATAATTTTGTATTTGCCCAAATGTCAGGAAAGAGTCACACAACCTTAATTCTTCTCCCTGAAGCATATGAAGCACTCTATTTTTGTTGTATCGCCCTGTATTACTTTAGCTCTGAAGACATACAAAACTCTGACCATGACTTCAGTAAGAGTAGGCTCAGGATTTACATCCCGATTAGAGATTGTGTAAATTGCACAATTAATGCAATTGTGTCTTTTCCCCTGTATGTGCAGAATTGCTTGAGAAATTCGACAAAACCTTGTAATCAAAAATTATTTCATATCACAAAAGTAGAGAGGGAAAAGTTAGGCCTGTATTGATGAAATTGATTATGACCTGGTGCTGTAACTCTGATCTTGACAGGTTAAAAGCTTTGTTCAATTGTGCCACTGCTGCACCAGCAGTGCACCAGCAGTGAGAAACTGCTAACAATCAATCTGCTTCTGGCATTCATTACTGTCTATTTAAATGACATATTTTAATTTAAATTTTCATTCCATTTGATCATTTCATTCCCCCCCCAATACCTGTAAATAAATTACTCCACAATCTGAAATAATATGCCTGGAAAAATATTGAAACTTGCATTCAGTTCACCCTCCTAACTCAAAGTAGGGCATGATATTTGTCTAACTCTAAACTTAAATTAGTAATCTTTAGAAATATCATTTTACTATCAGCAGAGCACCTAGACACAAAAATAAATATATAATGTGCAGATGGCATTTTATGACAGCACAGCCCTCATCTGGCAGTGCTCTGGAGAGTAACGGGACCCTTGTTCACAGCGGGTGAACAAGGGTCCCATTAAAAGCTAAGTTCAAAAAGGAGAACAAAACAAAGCTAAGTTCAAAAAGGAGAAAACTTCAGCAGAACAATGCAAATGCTGGGAGAAATTATTGGATCTCAGAGTGTAGGATTTTACAGACTATTTCAGTACAGTTAAGACATGCTTTAGTCATTCACAACACTCCAACTGGAAACTTTAATATATCCTGAAGCATAGAGAAAAGCATAGATTTGTGAAAAGCTTTAGAAAATTATGTCAGTAATTTGTCTTTGGTTAAAGGATAACCTGTATTTGGTCAAACACCTAAGAAAGCTTTTATGGATAATTAATTCATGAATATACTCAAATCAATTGTCTGTGAGGTTTTTTTGTTGATTTTTATTCACCTAAAATTATGGGAGATTTTACTCTGTGTTTTCTATTACTATTCAGTCCTATTAGTAAAGCCTTTGCAGTACTGTGGAAATAGCAGCTAGAGGATTAGTAAGGAATGGTCCAGTATCCATGGAATCAAGGGGAATGGGAGACAGAGGTGATGCTTTGAACTCCCACTCTAATATCTTTATTTTTTTTCCCCACTAGACATCATTTTACTGCTGTGCCAGCAGAGCTGCTAACCACAACGCAGAAAATACCAGCAAAACAACATTTCTGCTGGCATAGTTTATTCTATAGTTAATTTTTGAACGTATCTAAGGATTTTTATGTGAGAGTAAACTCTGTAGAGCTGTTCTCCCTAAGAAAGTACTCCAGTGGCCAAGCAGGTGGCACTGAGAAACCCAGGGTTGTCTTCTTTCCCCTGCCAAACCCTGCCTGCAAGCTGCGGGCAGGGACTGCGGTTCCCTGTCCCTGCTCTGCTCTCCCTGCTCCCATCACCACGCTCATGGGATGCAGACTCCTGACCCTCTTGGTCTTCAATAGCTTTGTGACACTTGAAATTGTTTTCTTTGTCATCACCTACACACTAATAGCCAAACACAATTTTCAGGGTGTAAAACTGAAAGTCCAGTCAGCACCCATGAGAATATATCTTTGCCTGGAGGCACCCTCTGAGTACAAGTGACCAGATCTAACCCTGGGAACTGTTACAGACACATATCTATATTTTTTACATATAATGAACACACACACATATATAAAAATAAAAACAGAGCACAAATAACTGCTTCCACAAACGATATAAGAACTTTGCAGGGACTTCAAAATAAAACTCACGGCAACTGACCAAATTAAAAAAAAAGCTCTGAAAAAGGGAGAGAGAGGTTATTTTTGTTGCAATGATTATCTCTTTTTCTAAGACCTGATGAGTGAAGTTCTTAAAACAACATTATGAAAGAAAACGTTCAGTGAAAGAAAAAATCAATATAGCAATCAGACAGCTTTTGGTGATCTCAGGGCTGCTGTACTAAGACCAAAACTGAAATTGTTTTCTAAAATCCAGTTCTATTTTAACTGTTCCCATGTTTAAAACAAAATAGAAGTGGTATCACAAAGACAGCCTTCTCCTATGAGATGCAAAGCTATATTCGATCTTTATGTACAATTAACATATCCAGGCCAAAAAGAAATGATTCAGAATTAAGAATGACAGTTTGAATGTGCAAACATTGCTGTGAAGTGTTTTGGGAATAGTAGTCTTGCTGTAAGATGGAAAACTATATTTATTTGCTTTTGCTCAGCCACTTCTGTTTATTTTCTTCAAGAACTGGCAAATGTTTCAATATGTCAAGATACATTTCATGCTGTGATGTTATTAAACTTAAGTTCTTGAGGATACACACCTTACAACCTCTGTAGCTTAGACTGGGGGTACAAAATGTTTTAAAGACTCAACAGGAAAGGATTATTCAGACAGAGTGTTTAGAATGCTGTGAAGCTCATTCCCGTGCTGAAATTAATTATTTGAAAACTTCATTTTACTTAATGTGTTATTGGATGAAGGGATACTACTTAAATATAATGTAATTTGGAAATTATTTAAGGAAGATCTCTTGAAAAGCATTATATGCAATGAAAAATCAGAACTTTAGACAGTCAGCTGAACACAAATTTTGACCTTGCAAACACTATGTAGACCTATTCTATAACTTCTTTAACCTATTAGGGAGGTTAAAAAGTTCCCCCAAGAACAAGTAATTAACCTTTTTTTGTTAGTTTAAAAAAGAAACTTCAACAGTTTTGATTGTATTTCATCAACTCTGTTATCAGGGAATTGCTCTTTCTTTTCCTATTCCAAATTTGAGTCCCTCTGCAAGCAGGGAAAAAAAAGTCCTGGTACTATGTTTTGTTTTTTGACTGAAATATTCCAAGTTAGTGTCACTAACTCCTGATATGAATAAAAATTACTGGAGTCCATATTGTCTTCATATCCTATAAACAATTTTTAGAAAACTACCTTCTTCATTGCCATTTCACCATGCAGTAAACTCTTCCAGAGTATATCTGGAGTGTAAGAGTATAGGTTCACATGCTGGGAAGGAGAATGGTTCTGCATCTGAGAACAGGTAATCAGCTAAAGTCAGGTCATCCAAGTTTTCCTCATGTAGTACTCAGTTTCATATTCCAAAGAGTAACTGCTCTAACTGCCTCTCCACATCTCCCAGTGAGGGAGGGGTAGGGATGCGAACGTGCTTCCATTGCTCATTTCATATGGCTGCAGATTTGACTGGGGCTGTGCAAAAGGAAGAGCTCACAGAGAGGAGGCAGGAGAAGTCCAGCTCTTGCCTGCAGGCTCCTTGCTAGGAAAGAGAGGGGCTAACGGCCTGTGTGTTTCTCCCTTTTGCTCCCCAAATAATCTTACTCTTTCAAAAGTGATCAAAGTCTTGCTCTTTGAACTTCTGCTTCAGATGGAGAACATTGATGTTCCCACATCAGTAACAGGTGATCTGGGAAGCAGGTGCTTTGGGATTCTTACTGATGTCACTGAAATGTCAGTATTCAGCACTGCAAAGACTTGAAGAATTGAAAAATAGGACACATGCGAAAAAAAGAAGTACTGAGGAATAACCATTATGAAAGGCTTGGAAAAATCTTCCACAGGCTAATCAAAGGAAAAGATGTTGTTATTTAACAGTCCCTAGAAGGGTGTTAAAGTCTTCACAGTATCAATGGAAGGGGAAAATTCTGAGCTCTGCTCTGCCATGATGAAAATAAGGACAAAACCCACAGTTCGTAAAGCACCAGAGGCTGAAGGAAGGAAAACTCACCTCCCCACCCTCAATCCTACTCGGAAGACTTGTGCACAATACAGCAGAGAAATATGACTGTAAAATAAAAAAATGATGACGTAAAAACATAGACATTTTTTGCTTTGAAAAGGTCAGTGCAAGAAATAGAAATTGGCCTTTTAGTCACCATGCTGGCCTGGCTCAAGACCTGAGGGTACATCATAGCAAGAACTCATTGAGGAGGAAAGACGATCAGGAAACAATACTCAGAGGTGATGGTGAAATTTGTAAGAGTGCAGGAAAGGATGCTAGTAAGAAAACTTAATATGAATTCATTTGTGGTCTGAGAAAATCTCAGCTGAGACAATAATTCAGATTGTCAGGGGTTGAAATATTTATAAAACTGGGCCTGAAGAACAAGGATAATTGACCTCAAAGGGAATCACAGGGAGCTGGCTACTGAGTCCTAGGACCACTTTGATATATTACTATCATTAGTGCTGTCTTGGATCTTGTTCCAAAATAGTCTACATTATTTTTCACTTTATCCCATCATTCCTTTCAAGGTGTCCACAGGACATGAGAGAATAATAATGATTCTTGACAAAATTGTAATAAGAAAATGGAGCTGAATTTTCTAATAATGCATATGGCCTGTCTAACTGCAGAAGTACTTTAACTGTTGTTCCTGCCTGCTATGCTTTCTGTTCTTCCAACAGGCTGAAGTGCCTGTAAAGGAATGGAAACATTTTTAAAATGACTGCTCACTAAGAGGCAAAATCTAGGTTTCAGGAAAAGGGCAAAACAATGTTCATATAAGACCACCCTGTGTGCTCTGGCAAAGGGTCAAGCACTGGAATGGGAAGAATGTGTCAAATTTGGAGCTGTGGATGGAGCTATTGCACCATCTGAGCTCTGTGTAATACCAGACAACACTTTGGTCGTGCACTGGACTCTAGAGTTGGTTCTTTAACTACTTCCACAAAACCTTACTCTGGGAAGCACATCTTGTGCAGCCAGCCACAGGACAATGTTCTTATGTATTATGGTTCTTTGCTCCTGCAAGATGAGTGAGGACAAACCACAACTCACAGCTTTATCCTAACAGATTTCATATTTTAGTAATCATCTGTGTACTGAAAATATAGTGAAATGTTCTTACTTTCTTCCGAAAGATCATTTTCTTCTGCTTCTCTTTCCATTTCTTTGCACCATCCTTCCATTCTCTTAGTTTCAGTGTGTAGTAACTTCATAAACCAAGATCCATCCCGTCGACAAGGAGACATTCGACCAGTCTCTACTGTCTCAATGGCTGGCTCCAGCCAGGGCTCTGGTGGTGGAAGGTTTGAGGTGTCAACTGGGGTCCTGTAATCTTCTCTGTAACTGAACAGTCCCTGTGTCCGTACAGTTCTCACTGCACTGTATTGGGTGGGTGTGCTGGGCTCTGAGTGCTGCTGGAATGACGAGCCAAATTGAAGTCCCTTATCCTCCATGGTGATGTGTCCTGGAAAACCCTCCAGTTCCAGGTCAGCCTGGACAGCTGCTGTTACACTGTTCGAGCGCTTGAATCGTCCATGTCTTGGGGAAGAGGGAAGAAAGAAAAGACATTAAGACATATAAATAATGTATGTGATGGTACAGAGGCACAGAATAATGTTTCAGTGAGAAGGAATGGATTCTGTTCTTCTTGTTGGACATTATGTTAAACATTTTTGCTTTGTGTATATCTTACTAAAATTAGATGGTGCGTAGCAACAGAGAAACACATAGTGGAATCATTGATCTAAGCAAGGGTACAAAAGAAAATAATTTAAATTTTCTCTGGAAGCAAATATTGATATGTTCTCATACTACAAAATAACACACGTCATTACTAAATAAACTGTAAATAACTAGCAGAACTAGAATTTCCAGATAGAAGTCTGTAAATTATAGATGTATAAAACTTTCCAGTGTTCAGAATTTTAAGCAGAAAGATCTGAAAATCCGCTCAGTTAGGACTTTTGAGAATTCTGTAATAAAAGAAAGATAATATCAGCACATTTAAGACTGGGGGTTGGGGGTTTTTTGGCCTTATAGGGTGCCCATTAAAAGTTGATATCCACTGTTATATGACACTGAATAATGACATTTTAGAAAAGTTTTGTGTTAAAATGTTAGATAGAGAAGCAAAGATTATTTGTGAAATCTATTCACATTGGAGTCCATTGTCAAATTATTTGCAGTTTGTGATGGCAAAAGGCAATTAGCAGCCAGATACTCTCAGACAGCTGCTGTGAGATGAGATAATGGTCCTGGTCCAGTACCTGACAAACAGTAGTTAGCAGGGTTAACCTGTGGGTCAGTACATGGGCCAGTATCTTTACAAAATTAGAGAACTGAACAAATCAGAAAGCTGATTCTAGTTTAGAATAAAGAATTTTGTCTCCTTTTGTGGACTGGGAAAGCCTGGATCAGCATGAGGAGTCTTATCAAAGGAAGACTGTTCCAATATGTGGCTCTTAGTATTTGTTCTCACAATAATTATATAAAGTCACTATTTCAATTTAATACTTTTATTTCCTTCCCTCCAATTAAAAACTGGAAAGTTAGATAAATGTGAAGCAACTGCTAAATAATCTCCACAAATTTTACCAGATGATAAACATGCATATAAGAAATTTGGCTTTGTGAATTATTTAGTGGCAGCACCTGTCAGGTGTTATTTGTTAGATCTGTTTACAAATGCATGTTGTGTTATGAAAGACTACAGATTTTTGAACATGCTTAAATTACCGTTTTTCATCTTCCACTTGAATTCCAACAGAGTGGTATTCCCGTAGGCCTCTGCTTTCAGTATCTGAATCAGTTGCTGTTTCCACCTAATTCAACACAAAAGATACATCTGCAGAGTGAGCATTGACAACTCAGCACAATTTTGCACAAACTCATTCAAAATTAATTATATATTTCATCTCTTACTGCTAAGAAACACCTAGCACAGTCAAATAAATGCAATAGGTATTCAGCCTGGTATTATTGTTTTGGTGTTGTATCTTATTAAAGTTTTGAACAAATACTTCTGCTATGTAATTCCCTGTTTCAAATCCAAGCAGAAGCAATTGCTCAGTTTGGTGGGATCAGGGATTAAGCTTGGTCTGGAAGGGCTGTTCTTAGAATGAGGAATCCACAGGGTAACCCTGTCTTATAGTATTATAAACCAGTCTCATTATAGTCCTTGATTTACAAAATAAAATAAAGTATCAAGTAGCCCCATAAGCTTGCAAGTGATAAAAAGAAATGGAGCAATGAAATTTTATTGACAACTATGTTGACAAATATAAAACCATTAAATGATGTGAGGGATACAGCAGAATGCCCTATCTCACCTTTTTTTAATAACACAGTCCTGAAAATGCTGTATCAAGCAGGCAATTTATGCACTTTTTATAGCATTCCTATCTGAAATACACTTACCAAAATATATTCACAGTAGTTTCCTTCAAGACTGAGACTTGTGTTTGCAACTTTCTGTGGGATTTTATATAGCACTCCCCACCACCACACCGCCCCCAAGTCTTTGACACAGACAGAGCAAGTGCTGCAGTATGCAAATTATACTGAATCAAGGGAGAGGCAGGGAAAAAAAGAAAGAGTAGAACTGACTTTTCCTTTTGAATCATATTTTCACTGTTAAATAAAAAAAAAAAAATTATCAACTGGATTTCCATATGCACACTCCATGTGTGAATTCAAAGAATATATCTGATGATAAAGATAAGAAAAGTTTTACCCTTGCAGCAGTCACAGGCATCTCTGGAAAGAACCTGATGATCTTTGCAGCTGCGCCTCAGCTGCACTGTCCCAACCCCACCTGGTTTCTGAAGGGATCCAGGGACAAGGTGGGAGGAGGGTGGGAAATGAGTGCATATGTGGACACTGCTTCTTGAGGAAGAGAGTTGCTGGTAACATCTCCTTCCATCTTCAAGCTGTAGCTCAGCGTACGTTCACATGTAGGTGAATGGAAGGGAACTCCAGCCAGTACACGTTCATATTTACATGTGTGTAAGTCTTGGAGAGGTTAATGAGAACAGCTAATGCAGGAATCCTCTAGTAAATGTGAATGACATGCTTGAACTGCACAGTATAGTGCCAGGCACAGGTGTGCTAAAATGTCTGGTTATCAGTGTGACAACAGTCCAGGAAAGACACATTTCCCAGCAATTCCCTTTATTCCATATAAGGTCTAGGGGACAGTGCATGCTGCCTGGAAGTGCAACTGCATGGAAGCTCACTGGGTTCCTTTTGATGGGCAGTGCATTGAGAGAACTAAAATATCAGACTTGGTAACAGAATGTGGTGATGCCAGTACAAAAAGAAAGATTCCTCTTGACATTGGCATTAAAAACACCCCTCACCCACAGACATAGCAGCTTGGAGGAAAAAAAGCCAGAACAACCCACTGGAATGATAGGTAAATTGGTTTCCTAGTTAAGGTGGATCTTGGCTGTAACATGGGTGAGAAGCTTCAGCTGCTTGGGGTGTCATAGTCTCTGAAAGAACATTGCTCCATGCAAAGAAGCCATGAGGTCCAGCTTTTAGCACAAAAAGATGTCTATCTATCAGGAAATGCAGACTTATCTATAGCAAAGAAGAGTCCAAAAGAGTCTTAAATAACAAATTCTAGTCTAAGTGAGGGACTAGGCACTCAACTAGTCCCTTTCAGTGATTTGAGGAAAGCTGCATATAAAACATATTAATTTCCTGAATTAACTGGGCAAAGAATAAGATACTCATGTAGGCTGTTGAGGGGGCAGGGCGGAGCAGGGAGGCAAGTTACACTTGCAGCTTTGACTTCTGCAATGAGACCTCAGTCAAACATGCGTGGACAGGTTATGAAAAGTGAACTCATTCTCAGGGGTAGAGGAGATGATTGAGAAGGGACCTTATAAATGTCTACAGGTATCTGAAGGAAGGACATCAAGAGAATATTTCCAAGCTTTTCTCAGTGGTTCCAAGAGGCAATGGGCAGAAACAGAATACAAGGAAGAACTCCTTTACAGTGTGAGTGACCAAGCACTGGAACAGATTGCTCAGAGAGGCTGTGGAGTCTCCTTCCCTGGGGATGTTCATGAACCATCTGGATACACTCCTGTGCAGTGTGCTCTGGGATGACCCTGCTTTAGTAGGGAGGTTGGACCAGATGACCCAGTGTGGTCTCTTCCAACCCAACCCATTCTGTCACTGTGTAGTGAATAAGAGCAAATAACACAAAATGCTTAGACTGTGGCTCCTGGTTGCACCTGTAGGAGTGCTAGCAGGAAGATGATGTCCAAGGTGGGGAAACATTTTCTGGAGGATGTTGTTTGATGTTGAAATCCATAAGAACAATCGGAGTGATGAGGAAGTCTAAACTGTTGCTAAGACCTGTGGTACAGGGGTTCATCCCAAAGCAGCCAGTCAGTCTGAGTTAAATCACATAATTTAGGAATAGATTGCCCAGAGAAGTTGTGGATACCTCATCCCACACTGGAAGTGTTTTAGGCCAAATTGGATGCGACCTTGAACTCCCTGGTCTAGTGACAGATGTTCCTTCCCATGGAAGGGGGTTGTAACTAGATGATGTTTAAAGTCTCTTCTAACCCAAACTATTCCATAATTCAATTCTATTTTATTATTCTGTTGGACTGGGTCCAAAGGAAAAGACCATCATATTTTCCTACTGCTTCCACTTGTTGATCAAGTTCCTTGAACTTGTTTGACTGAACTGCAACTCCAGATGATGGTGTCAGTGATGTAGGCACAGGCTCCACAGGGTTACAAGCCTTAAGGTTTGACAAGGGAAAAGAGGTTTGTGGGTGGCCAGATTGAAGAAGTTGAGCAGATGGGAACAAAGGATTTATCAGGGCCATCTGCTCACTCACATGGCTCAGCACAGAAGGACAGGACATTGTGGCCCATTCGGACCCAAGACAAATCCAGAGAGATGAAGCCAAGCTGACATCTCCTCACATGGCAGTCTTTGCTTCAGCCCTTTCCAAAGAACTGCATTTCCTTCAAAGAGTGATATCCTTAGGATGACCATTTTTATGTAATGTGCTCCTTGGTATCTAGGGAGTGAGTCCTGAGGTATGAAGGGTAGGCCAGATTCCTGAACACAGAAATAGGGTAAGGAGGGTCAGTGGTGTCATAGTTGTGGGGGCAACATACAGCTAGTAACACTCTGGAGATGAGCAATGGCCAATGGACAGAGAATGGGCTTTAGCTTGCCACAGAGGTGGCTCAGCAGCTCAGACATAGTGTTGTTGCAAACATGATGATCCAAAGACATAAACAAGGAAAGGCCCCTACAGAGAACATCAATAGGTCCATCAATTTTTTCTGGAACAAAGCAGGCAGACTTGCAACACACACCCTTCTTCCTTATTGCATATCAAAAACATACCTGTTTTTGCCAGCTACCTTGTTTGGTTAAGTAAGAAATAGCAGGTCTTCTTTTGAACTCTGCCTCTGATACGTAGAGGTAGATTTACCCTTTACCTTTATTTGGAATGGGTTGGTATTCTTCTATTGATGCAACACATCTTGAAAAAGTCTTTTATCTGTCTGTTTTCCAGTGTTTACTTACTGGCATTTCACCTAGAGATATAATCCTGAGTAATTTACCCAATATGCAATCGATACCTGGAATTCACAGGCACAAATGAAGTAATATGCTCTAAAATTTTATTCCAAAAAATTATCAGAAAAATTATGATCCACGTATCAAAATAAAAATTATATTACTTATCTCTAGATATAAACTCTTGCCAAATTGTCCTTCCCTCCAGCTTGCCAAGACTGACACTAGCTAAATGATCTGATGATTGCCTTGATATTTTAATGCTTTCATTTTATCACTATGCCTTGTAACAGCAGGAGAATGCCAATTTTGTGTGTGTGTGTGTGTGTGTGTGTGTTTGTGTGTGTGTGTGTGCACTCAGGCAAAATCTAGCATTGCAGATATTGTAACAACCAACAAAATGTAAAATACCAAGGCAAATACCAAGACAAGTAAAAGTGGAAAATAAGACAGTTATTTGCAATCATAAAGAAAAAAAATGAACAACTAAATTGCATTGCTGTATGACAGATATTATAGACTCCTGCTAGAAAACAGCAGGAAACGTTCATCTGATTGGCCAGGCTAAACTCAAATGAGCAGAGGATAAAAAGTAATACATTGGTTTGATTGTCTGACTCTTGAAACTCAAATAACTTTTACTAGATTTGTTATTATAGTCCTTTATTCATTGTTGTTTTAATATTTACATGGGTTATAAAAGCTTTACTATTTTCAAATTGTCCTGCAGTCTCAGTAAAGCAAAACAATGTGAAGAATTTTATCTTGATATGTTTATGATGGAATCTCACACAAAAGAGGAAAGAAAAAATAGGCAGTCGTATCAAAAGCAGAAGAAAGGAGTAGATCTAATATAATAAATCAGCTTCCTCTCATTGCAAAAAAGAACAAAAAGATTCTTAAAATTGGCATTTTATGCCATGACAAATGTTGTTATATGTGCTTATGTCCACTAGGCTTGTAATATTAGTAGCAAATGCAATGGAGCACCTTGAGATAATTTCTGTCTTAACAATGATTCTTGTGAGTCCCTTCCAACTCAGGATATTCCATGATTCTATGAGTCCATGTCATACCTTTCATGCATAAAGACTTAACCGCCCCCTCAACATTCCTTGCTGTCGATACAAGGAGCAACACTATGAATCCTCAGAGATCAGTCACTGCTGACTGATACAGCTCTAAATTTGAAAAGTAACTAACACTGTACTGGTAGTGTTAGTGTACTAAAGGATCCACAAGTAAGTTATATCAATACAA